CCATCTGATCCATAACAAGACCAAATATCGCGACCAGTGCATATACCAAACGAATTGTATCATACTTAGCTATAGGTGAAAAAACTTTGTTGTAGTTCACTCCCTTCTCTTGTGTGAAACCTCTAGCCACCCGCCTATCTTTGAAGATTCTCGCCTTGTCTCTTGCTGGATTGTCCTTCAGCTTGTACACCCATTTGAAGTCAATCAGCGTCTGATCTGTACAAAGCTCAACCACTTCACAAGTCTTATTGCCAATCAAGGATTGCATCTTCCGCTCCATATCAACATTCCACTCAAGCTTGTTGACCGAAGCTTGAGCTTCCATGTATGAAGAAGGTTCGCCTTCTTCCAAAATCAATATCATACCATCCCCATCTTCGACATCAAAGTCACAATTTTTGATTATGGATGAATTTGCCCATACACCAAACCTTTTAGGAGCCCTACTAGCACCATGCGATCTCCTAGTAGAAGTTTCCGATTGAATTGAAACTATTGCAATAGATTCATCAACGATAACTTGCTCATGTTTTTGATGCATCAGTGCTACTTCTTGTGACAGATCATTAATGATATAATGATCAAACTCCCACACAACAACATCTGTGATTGAAGATTTTCCCTTGTCAATACTAAAAGATTTAGAATTTTTCTCTCTTTCAATAAGCCAAGCTCATTGAAAGAAACATCCATACTGACAATCACCTTACGGGCTAATGGATCTCATAGCATGTAAATTCTCACGCCACTAGCATATCTAAAAAAACAACATTTCTTTGACGTGGGATCTAAGTTATCTATTGCTCTTTTGGTGTGAGAGTATAAGCAATACAACCAAAAAACTCTCAAGCGACTATCGTACGCCATTAGTTTATGCTTGAGTTCAAACGGTGTGGAGAAATGAAGAAGAAGATTTACCAAATAAATTGTGATGTTGATGACTTCGGCTCAAAATTGACCTTGTAAACCGGATTCGCTTAGCATACTCAGCACCTTCTCCAACAATGTTCTGTTGAGTATTTTAGAAACAACATTTTGTTGTAGAGTGTAAACTGTCGTGAGATAGCAAGTAATCCCCTCCTTTGTACAATACCTCTGAAACTTTTCAAAAATATATTCGCCGCCATTGTCTGATCGCAAATATTTTACCCAGTGGCCAGTTTGAGTCTCAACTTGTATGCGTCAAATTTTGAAGGTGAAAAACACCTCAGACTTGTGGGTGAGAAAATACATCCATACATACATGGAGTAATCATTTATAAAAGATACATAGTAGAGCTTTTTTGAGAGTGAGGCAATGGAAAATGGGCCCCACACGTCACTATGTACATACTCCAAGATCTTTGTGGAACTATGAGTTCCAACACTAAAATATCGCCTATGTTGTTTGCCCATGATGCAATGTTCACAAAATTCCAATTCAATTTTATCCAAATCCAATAACATCTTCTTTTCATCAAGAGAGATAGGTATCTATCACTCATATGACCTAGTCGGGAATGCCATACATGAGATATCTCTACGTGAGATCTGGTAATGGGAACTTCTCTACTGATAGTGGTGTCGTCTAACAAGTACATATTATTGTGCTTGTATTTCATAAGCTCAATCTTCTTATCACTCGATTTGACCTCTAACACGCCATGCCTAAAGCTTCACTTTAAGTCGTGTGAGCCTTACATTCCAAGAGAGGAGAAATGTCTTTCTCATGTTAGGTATAAACCTAACGTGTGTCAACATACGGTTGACATCATCAAACATGCAGATCTTTACAAATCCAACACCCTCAATCTTACAAGGTCGGTCATTTTCCATAAGAATTGAACCATTTGACCTTGAGTAAGCCCAGTTTTACTCTCTAATGTAACATATGTGATAAAAACACACACTATTCAAATTCCATAGATCACCAACAACTTTTGGTGAACTACATAGTGCATATCTCTGACATGATAGACCGTCGGCAAACACGTCTTCCTCTTCGAAGTGAAGATGCTCCGCAACATTCGCCACTTGAGGTAGATTCATATCTCTTATCGGCATCCGGCAGTCTTTCTTGATGTGGCCATTCTTGCCACTTCACCAACACATCAAGTTTCTCTTGTTAGAGTATAGGATCCGAAACTGAACTCTCTTTCGCTCAAGGGATCTAGATCTTTGCCGCTTGAATCCTGTACGTTGCAAATTTTCCAAATCCAAAGTTTGTGACTGGCCCCGGATCACAATAAGTGTAGTACTTGAAGTGAGTGAGCGAGAAAATGACAACATCTCTTGTTTTACCTCGTCCGGCATGATAGCACTTACAACCTTGTTGTAAGTTATAAAATTGTTATCACAATGAAAGATAATCTTTGACAGCGTCTGGTAGGAGTGAGGCAATGAGTGGAGTAGATGCATAGTTTTTTTTATGTTATAAAGCTTCTCTCCCATATTCTGAAGATCCACCAACAAATCTCGGCATGCATGAATGTGATCATGAATTCTCAATCACTACCTCATCATGAAGTTCAATAAATTCATGTAGGTGTTCATCACATGTGATAGTTCTTTCTGATGAAACCGTTTCTGTAGGGCATCGAAAAGTTCATTAACTTCAGAATACTTCTCAACTTGCTTCATAACTGAAGGATCTAGATGACCCATCACAATACCAATTGTGAACGGTAAAACCGAGAAAACATTAAACACTCATGAGATATAGATTTAACGTGGTTCACCTGAAGAGAAGAGTGCTACGTCCACCAAGAACACTCTTCACTTTACGTTAGGTTTCTTACAGAAAGAGACACTATACAGGGAGAACCTCGAGTTATTTATCCCCGGTCCATGTGACCGTCTTAGCTATAAATAACTAAAACTCGAGGTTTTTCCTTAACTGGAATTAATCTCAACATACTTAGCATTGGATTAATATAAAATCATAGACTTCATATGACAATCATGAAAAAAAATCCCATACCTAACCATGTTATGTAACATTTTTTCAAGACCATGAAATACATTGCTATATCAGGAAACCATTTATGTTTTGTTGCTTGTACTTGGTTTTGAATTTAGATATGATAGATGACTTATTCCCAAGGTAAGGCCTGAAGTTATCAGTTTCTTTTCATCATTTGATGGGGATATTTCCCTACCTTTTAGTGTTATGAACCCTTCCATTAGTTGAAGCTTCATGTTGTGTTTAAAGCTTCACGAATCCGAGTATTTTTATCCTCCACAGAATTTCCCATTGAGTGCAATTTCTTCGACCGATGTGTAAGCTTCTGAGCCAATCATACCTATTTCCGAAGAAAAGTGATAACGCCTGCGAGCTACTATCACAAGATAAGATACGATATGAACCCTTCATATCAATGTCTATATTTAAAGGTGCGCTTCAATTATGTGGACTACGGTGAACAGCAACGTGCACGTCAACGTCGCTCCCGACTGACGTCATCCCATCTCTCTCACTGCGTAGCAAGTCGGCCCGCGACGACTTGCTACTCAGCGAGGGAGATGGATTTACGTCATTCGAGCGTGCTCCAATGTAGTGGGCGTTTCAGATCTTCTCTTAACCCTCGACCCCGTCACTACGCAATCTTAATACGGAAATCCGCAACCCCGGTTAGCGTTCTCGAGGCGAGGACTGAGATGGGTTAATCATCGCCCGCCAGCTGGCAGATGATTGTGATGAATCGGATGACACGTAAGGAGGCTCAGGCAATCAGTGCGCTGTGTCTTTCGTTCAGAGCCACTGGCGCGGGGGAGCGGCAGGCGTCGACTGATCGAGTCGTGACGTTCATGGCGAGGATCTTGGAACGCAACCTCTTCGATTTGCACGTGCATCGAGGGCCGACGCGAGCGGAGAAAACCATGCTCATGGCAATCGCCGATTGCCATGTGAACCGATTGCCAATCGGTTCACCGGAGGAATGCCAATTATCTGCTGCATGTGATGTCGGAAATTCTACTCGGCTCGATTTTCATCTTCTTGATCCCCAAAACACACTTTGTGCGCCACCTGCTTGATTCTCTCCCGTTTCAAAGTGTCCGAGTCTCGTATTTGTAAAAAGTGCTCCTCCAACTCGATGCCACGTTATGTCTGCATTGTGTACACGAGCAGGATTGCTCAGTACGATCCAAAATCTCCACTTTTCGTCATCATTATCATGCCCTATCATGCCATATATCGATGAGAATACACGTGTGGATACAATGGTAGTTTATTTATATGAACACGCTTGCTCAACCTAGTCTCGAGCAGGCTTCTTCCATACGATCCACAGTCTCCACTTTTCGCCATCTTTATCATGCCTTATCATGCCATATGTATCGATGAGAATACATGTTTGATTGCATTGGTAATTTTTAATTTATTCAAATGAACACACTTGCTCAACCTAGCTTCCATCAGGCTTGTTCAGTGCGATCCAAAATCTCCACTTTTCGTCATGCCATGTATCGATGAGAATACACGTTTGGATACATTGTTAATTTATTCAAATGAACACCCTTGCTCAACCTAGTCTCCAGCAGGCTTGTTCAGTACGATCCAAAATCTCCACTTTTCGTCATCTTTATCATGCCATGTATCGATGAGAATACATGTTTGAATACCTTGATAATTTATTCACATGAACACACTTGCTCAAGAAGTCTCCAGGGTACCAGTGAACTGACAGTGCAAACCTTATGTCTGTAAGAAAAGGAGGTCTAGATTAAGCAGCTATGGATGTCCTGTTCACGTTGCAGATGTTAGCGCATTATAAAATTGGACGGGTGAGCACGGCAGCTCTTAAATTGGCGCAGATTCCTAGACGCACGTGGAAGGGAACAGTCAAAACATGAGAATATTCTCGGATGATGAGTACAGTAGAAGTTCAACTTCACGCGTTTAAAATGGGTGAATTCAGGACGAGCAATCGGCATGAGGGGCTGATTAAGTAAATACTTTGTTCGCTGACTCTATGGTCATCGCTAGAGAACATTACGTCGAGGGTAATAGTCTGGTATGTTGAAACTTATTGACCCAAAGCTTGTGGGCACACGGTTTAAATAACTGATTTGGAATCTAGTTCGAAGATCAACCACTGGTGGGAATATTTGAAAAAGCCAAATATTCGCAGTCCTTTTCAACACTTGAATCTTGAGGACATGAAGGCGGGTGAGAATCATGTCGGTCGCCCAGATCAAGTGATTCTAAGCTTTGGACAAGAACGACGAGCAAAGGCAAAACTGTAAACACCCACGCTCACATTGTAGAGACCGCTCCGTTTTCTTAACTCCACGAAGAGCTGATCTCTCATCACAGGCTCTTGCGCTGCCTCGCTAACATGGAAGCTGTCGCAGTTGGAAGTAGTGTAGGTTCTCTCTCTGCTCAGTTTTCAAAGGTGTCGTCCAGCCCGAAGCCAGTGCACGCCAATTTGTCGACAAATCTCCGAGGATCGCCAGTTGTCGACATCAGCAGAAGAAATCGTTCTCTGTGCCGCCCCTTGCCAGTGGTAGAGCCCAAATCCACACTTCTTGCTGTTCAGCGAATCGCGAACTTTTAGAATACAAAATGCTAATGTTGTCTGTCATGGAGCACTGCAACTTCTTAGAATTGCAACTTGAGCGACAGAAAAATTCGTCGTTGAACTAAGTGCAATTCCGAGTGGAACGGTCTATTTTCTTCACTCCAGGAACTGGAAACTGTAGCCTTGTCCCGAAATAGATGAAGGACGATTTGCAGAGTTGGAATGTCTTCGGTTCTTCTGTCAGACACTTCTAACAGACTCCTGAAGCTGATATCTGTCACGGGATGCGATCTTTGCTCGTAGGAGTCTCAGAACGATGTAAACTTGAGCTTGAAAGCAGGAGCAAGATGCGCAATGAAATTTCTGGAAGAAGATGTGAAAGAACAGCAAACGACTACCAAGCCAAAGCCCGATTCCAAGGTTCGTGTGTGCTCAACATGTCGAATTCGGGGTGTTGCAGTCAATTTTTGTGAAGACGAAGAATGTGATTGCGGAATAGTTCTGTAAGCATGTACATGCTCATTCTTGCCTCATGAATGACACCAATTCTGAGACACTCTGGCAATTTCTCTCTTGCAATATGTGGCCAATTTGTTTTCTGTCTGTCCTGTTCCATGTTTGTTCTCTAGAAAAACACAGTTTTATGACCCGGGAATTGGGAGTTTATATTCGAAACAGAAATTCTTAATTTTGAATAGAAATTTACGAACCCAGTCCTATACAGAAGTAATTGTTCAATGGCACATTTGGCAGGTCAGGCCACCTCTTCCTCCTCGGGAGGTGCCCAAGCACGGAGGAATTGAAGGTGCTGTCGGCTTGCTGACAAAGGCAATCGCGAACGGCATTTTTAGTATTCTTCAGTACAAGTTATTAGAAGATGAAAACATCTACACCAAGGTACTTGGCATATAATCGCCTCTATGTCGTTAGCCAGGGAGAGAGACAACAATGCTTTTTGTTGATACAATGGTCCATCGATTTTGTTAGAGTGAGCTACGGTGCTGGGAAGCTGTAGGATTTTCTGTACGATCTTTTCCCAAGTAGCACTTCTTCTGTCGACGGGACGCTTCTCCTTTTTGCCGGGCTTTGTAAAGCTGCAAAGCTCGCCCTGATGCTTGCTTGATCCGGCTCTGGCAGGGTAATTTTGCTCCGGTTGAGGAAATCGGAGACAAATTGCCAGTGCAGATTCTTTCAGGAGCCATACCGCAGAACTTTCCGTCCGGGACATACATCAGAACAGGTGCAACGATGTCTAGGAAAGGCATAATGCTTTATTTTTCTCCCCCCCAATTTGTCCCGATCCGGTCCTACTTTCCCTCGTATGTGAAGCCTCATTGGACTCAATACGTGTTTGGTATGTTCATCAGTTTCTTCATGAAGGATGCTGAGATTTCAAGATTTTGATTGCTACCTGCTCTCTACTCCAAGCTTGAAGCCGCTCTCAATTGATGATGCAGGACCGAATCCGATGTTCCATGGGAAGTATGCGAAGTCAATAGTGGGAAGTACAAAGTTTCACTGGTTCGAAGGGGACGGAATGCTTCATGCTACTTATATTGAAAAGCGCGGGGACGAATACCACTTGTCTTACAAGAATAAGTTTGTGGAGGCAGCAGGGTACCTGGTTGACAAGGAGGCGGGAAAGCCCCTCGTCTTGCAGACAATGGAGGGCTCGCCATGGGGCCTCCTGATTAATGGTCTTCTCAACCAGGTGAGTAGACGCATTAGGCTCCATTGAAACACAATCTCTCCAGATCGCTTTCTTGTTGAGAAGAGTATAGCAGAGTATCGGTTATCTAAGTGTCCAGGTCGTGGCCTACTTACGTCTATGCAGTCTGAGGCTTCACACTGGGAAGCATGCATGAGATACAGGTTTCCTCCGTTCTTCTGATTTTCTATAAAAAATCATAGCATCACTTGTCAGACGATGAAAGGGGAATCACCGTGAAGGAGCCACAACACATTTCGGAAATATGTGTGCTTCTTTCGTGGGCTACAACAGCTGAATGTACGGCACAAATATGTTATTCCGAAACAAAGATGTCCATGCGAATGAACTTCCTGCAAATTGAGTTTTCTGCTCGTGAGTTTTGGCAGGCGCGCTTCGGGTTCCAGTCAAAGCCAACTTGCAATACTTCCATTTATGTCCATGGAGGGCGAGTCTTTGCAGCCTCGGAGAACAACTTACCATACGAAATCAATGTCTCCGATCTTAGTACTGTCGGCGTTTTCGACTTTAAAGGTGCCTGGTCCATGGATAATTTTACCGCACATCCTAAGGTTAGTTCAGACCTCCTCCCTAGGCTCGACTTCTAAAAGGTACAACTCACAGTATAGTCGGAAGATCTAACCAAAAATTGACTAGAATCCTAAAATCGTACGTGTTCCAAGATTAGATACCTTACACTGCATTATCTTCATCCTCCGAACTCGTCGAAGAATTATGTAGGTTTTCAGATGGCTTGTTTACAAAACTGAAGGCACTATTTCGCACGCGCGAACAAACGTCAAGTTGACCTTAAACTAAGAGAATAGCAGAAAGTTTTTTTCTATGTTGACCAGAACACACTTGCGGAGCTTCTATGCTAATTTGGTACGTCGTGGTTCAACAGATCGATCCAAAAACCAAGGAGTTGATAGGTCAAGGTTTTAGCGTCACGGAGAAACCACACAATGCCGTCGGTGTCATTTCAGGTACAACATGACGTTGTCATAAGAATCTGAAACTGATACGTGAGAAAGTTTTCCAATGGGCAAAGTGTTTTTGTGACTCTCCTATTAACTTTAGGTAGCATATCTCTCGTTGTGCAGCCGATGGTGAGACCCTGATACACGAAATCGGTTTAGACTCAGGTCGGACATGTTTGAACCACGACCTTGCTATTACAGAGAGGTAGGTTCTTGCTTCGCAAGTGAATGAGGCGTTTATTGTAGATCTACATTGACTTCTAGTTCTATCTGAGACCGACAAGTAGTCCGTTGGTTGTGTACAAATCCATGAGTGAGCTTATACAAGTTGAGTTAATGCGCAATGTACAACACGTTTTTTAAGTTTTTAGTTGAAGAGCGTATTTCCAGGTTCGACTCCTTTTCACGCCGTAGGGAGAATGGATGGGTTCAGAATGCAAACGAGGGTGACCACACAAGCAAGCAATAATGATTAATGCCTGCTTGTAGGGTTTATATTTTGTGGTTGAATCATCTGGGTGCGTTTTATGTGTTGGCTTCTCTGATGCTCTTGACCTATTTCCATTCTATAAGAACCTTTACTCATGCATCCGGGTGCATGCAGATATATCGTTATACTGGATTTCCCTATATGCATTGATCCTCTTCAAATTTTGGAGGGAAAGAGGTAAGTTCATGGAACATGTTTCCTACTTCACTGAGTTTGATCGAGTCTGCAGTTCAGTTTCGACAGCTGAAGCTAGAATTTTGGTAAAAAGAAAGGAAAATATGTTTTGATTCCCTCGACAGATTTGAGATAAATCTCACTCTCTATATGTTCATTCCAGTGCAATTATTTTCAAACACGACACTTACAGCAAGATTGGTGTTTTGCCTCGCTATGGGGATTCCAACTCTGTTCGCTGGTTTACTGTGGAGACATGTTCTATGTTTCACATAATCAACGCTTTTGACGATGGCAACGAGGTAACTTAGTGGAGGATGTTTCTCTTGATCTTCTTGCTGTCGCAAAGATAGCTATCACACATATGGACTGCAAGTTGGAACCTCAGAATGAACTGTGCATGTTTGCCTTCTTGTAACAAAAAAGCTTCTGTTACAAGAAGACAGTTGACTTGTTATCTGTGTTACCATGTCTCAGGAGTTCTGGATGCAGTTCATGTCGTTGCTTAACAATTCTGGCGTTTGGTGCAGGTAGTGATCCATGGATTGAGGTCAAAAATGTCTTTCTTGAACACTGATATGAATTTGGATAAAGCGAAGTGGTATAGTCGAGGACTGACCCGGAGTCCACCTGGCCAAGAGGAACTTGATCCCTTGTCTGATGGTGCACTGTTGACATACCCCTACGAATGGCGTATTGACCTTGAATCTGGTAGGGGAGTACCTCTACCACCACTCTCCCCGCCTCTGTTCAAGCCGCAGAGCCTGAAGCAGAAGAAATCTTGCAAGTTTTGGAAAAAGCTACATTACCAGTTACAGTAAATGTGAACCGTAATAGAAGATTTCAGTGATGAACGAACATCCATTACCTAGTATATGTTGTATGATTGACATGAAATCCGTAGAGAAAACACATAGATTCGTTACAGAAACCTTGCCTTCCTTTTGAGTCATCTCACTAAGACACCTGATGCAGGTAGAGCCAGTTTAATTGATGGGCTTTGTGAAATATTTTTAAACTATGTCTTTGTCAGAACATTAAGAAAAGCGTAGCTCAACAAAGAGTGTGCTCCGTGATACTTGCTGTTGTAAGGAGTCCGTTTCTGCAGGATTGATCCTTTCCCTGCTGGTTCATTATGTACTTGCTTTTTTAAGAGTTCTTTTAGTGATTCCATTCACGTCTTTTCTCTGGTTGTTTCGTCAGGGAACGTAACAGAGAGGGTCCTTGTAGACGAAGAAATATCGATGGAGATGCCTCGCATAAACGAATCTTACGTAGGGAGGAAGCATAGATATGGATACGTCATATGCCACGACCTCGATCAAAGTCGAAAAGAAGGTCCGTATATATATATTTAAATGAATATATTTCCAAATGAATGTTGACTTCATTTGCGACTCTCATCATTCGATCCTGAGAAAGAGTGGACAATAGTGTAAGGTGCCACTTTCAACAAGGATGCATCGCGTAATTCTACTTCCGTTTGTCTCAACAGGTGTCCCATATTTTGGAGAAATGAGCAAAATTGACTTCTCGAGCTGTGAGAACGGAAAGGTAATCTCTATATATCAATCCATCAAATTATCCTATATTTCTCTGTTCTGCTTGTAAGGTGCATTTTAACCCACATTGAACTTCTTTGTATCATTCGGACAGGGTCGGCTGAGTATAGAGTCTCATCACTTTGGCCCAAATCGTTACGGAGGCGAGCCTGTATTTGTGCCCAAACCTGGAAGTACAGAGGAAGACGATGGCTGGATCATAACATATGTACATGACATGAACACGGGCCAATCTGAGGTACGTCTGTTTCTCTACAACGATGACAGTTATCGTCACGGTTTTGAAGTTCCCTGGACACGCATATTGCAGTCAACCTGCACTCTTTGATCAGAAGCACTAGTAATGAACGGTACAAGAAGTTCTCTTCGTCAACTTCGAACCTAAATGCGAGTACAATGCCAGCATTCCATACCCATCTTTGACCTTAAGCTAAAATCAGAGACTGAGAAGTACTAACAGTAAGCGAGAGAGTCTACGAAATTCTGGATGAATTTTTTCCAAATCTTCTCGTGCATAGGGCGTTCATGTATACTGCTCCCTTTTCCGTAGTCTTTTCTTGAAACATCAATCTAGTTTATAATCAACTTCATGAACAGCTGCTGAAATTTTCGGACTGCATGGCCTCCCTTCGTGATATTGCGAGGCTCATTGAAACGAAAAACTGGATGAAAAGCTGGAACTAACATTTCCGTGCTTTACTATCTTGTACCCTGAACGAGCAGGCAATTATCGTAGATGCGAAAAAGTTCAGCGAGGAACCAGTCGCTCGATTACTTCTACCCTGTAGAGTACCGTTCGGTTTTCATGGGGCCTATGTATACGATCAATGAAGCTCAGGAGACAGCAGCACCAGCGGAGTGAACACTGTACATAAAGTTGTAACTTGAGCTATCAATAAGCAAAGACATGAAAGCTGGAGTGATCATCTCTTCAGTAATTGTATGGCTAGGATAAGATACAACTGTCAAATGATCTCAGGATAATATGAAAATGAGCTTGTCCATTACTTATCCCTCACGCTCATGTGTTCAGCTTGGTCAGCTATCTCTAAAGAGAGAGACGGCTGTACTATAAGACTTAAACGACCTCGATCTAGGGAACCGGTGAAGAATTATTTTCCTAGACAAGAAAAGGGCGCGGAGTTTCCAAGCTCATACCGCTATCATGGGGTAGCCATTCGCATTGTTATTACTTTACATGTATATGAAAGGCAATCTGTTATTTGTTTTACCCATAGTTCGACTGATGAACCCTATCTGCATGTGTGCGACTTTGTTTGAACAGGCTGCAGAACATAAGGGATATGTATACACCATGTTTTTCGCTCTGCTCGTAATAGTTCGACTCTTTTCGGTTTCCTGTAACTAGAGCATTGCTTCTGTCCACCTCGATTCGCCAGGATCATTCGGTTCGACAATTACCAGTTCAGACCAACTAACCCGCTCACTGGGAGTTTTAAGCCTTCGTACAGTCGTGTTCACTAGACTGACCCTGATTGGAATATTCCTCTCCTAGATTTTCACGTCCCACATTTTATCTCAAAACATTTGTATTATTTGCCTGTAACATTTGGTCATCAACTGCGCCGACTCGGGGCACACGTTAAAGTTTGACTTACAGTTCACTTATTCTTCACGACTGACTACACTAAGATGATGGGACAATGCTTAGCCTCTCTAATTTGGCTACAGTCCAATGATGATTACTGATGATTGGACCACCATCATACGATTCTTGCGTAAGTACGCAGATCCCTAAGTAGATAAAACCGGCTGATCCACAAATTTGAATACAGGACAGAGCCATCTCCGATGAAAAAGTTGGTGAGTCGGTGCATTTCATCTCTCTCTCTCTCTCTCTCTCTCTCTCTCTCTCTCTCTCTCTCTCTCTCTCTCTCTCTCTCTCTCTCTCTCTCTCTAAGTCAGAATTAGTTGCGATGTCGTCACACATGAAGCTCCACAAGGCACACAAAGCATCCAGTCACCTCAACAAATACACAAGTTTTAATGAAACCTGCGAACTCATTAGTCGTAATTATCAAAAAATAAACCTCAGCGATATTTTGAAATTTTGCCTTACCTGACTATAGTACAAGTACTCACTTGGCCCCTGCACTTCTACAAAAACGTAGCAAACCAGAACCTACTGTCCTCATAACCTGCGAATGTTAGATTGGATTGGATTCTCCTCATCAAAAAGTGAGTTGCACTTGAATCAAATGCAAATTCCAGTCACACGGACTGATTGTATGTAATCTCTGCTCTACAGATCATCATCGTCATCGTCGTCAAGACCATCGAATTGGTCACCGAGGTCACCAATATCATCGAGGTTGTCTTGCTTAAAGGCATCGGTGATGGCCTGCTCATCAGCCCTATCTTCCTCGAGCATGGAACTTCTTCTGAACTGCTCCGCCCTGATCTCCCACTGTGGCCGATTGTACTTCTCCTCCTCGATGTCCTTGTTGATTCTTGCTTGTAATGGTTTCAAAATAATGAAATACTGGATACAAAAACAACAAAACCAAGGTACACTGACGTGAGAGTCTATTGTAGATGTCACCGCTGGTGTATCAAAGCAGTTTCAAAGGTATTTTTCGTCGGGTATGGTGTCAATAAGAAATATCGGATAGTGCGTGGGTGTTTAAATCATGTGGAATCCATAGTAAGATGGACCTTGTGTCATAGGCTAAGTGGCATGTACCTGAGCAAGGAGGAGAAGAGGTATCCAAATTTTGTGCCTTTGATTGGCGTTTGGACCTTCTATCAGTTTCTTGTCGATAAGAAGTGACTTCGTCGGACCAGTAGCAACCTCAACAATCTTCTCTACCAAGTTTGGTAGCCAAACGGTACTGTCTGGGAGAATCTGAGAACCAACAAGCAAAGTGTGTCCATGAGTACTCTCCTATCATATCCTCTGAGCTAACGAACAAACATAAATAGTACACAAGAAACCAAACGATACATCAAAGCTACATACACTGTCATTCCAAAAAATCAGTACTCAAGAAAGAATTCAGAGCTGAAGTGAAAGAAACCATGCAAACGTAAAGTTACACAAAAATTCCACTGAACCTTTTCTCCATCCGTGTTTGTATTGCATCTTCCACTGTTTTCTACCAACACGACGGGCACCTGCCAAAACGATGCACGCAGCCCGGTATTAGTATTTGGACGCTGTGTCTAGCTGAGCATTAAGCGGCATTTGAGGTGCAAATGGCCTACTTGATATTGGCATGACGTTTGGTCATTTCCTATCCCTTCAGATCGAGCTATTCGAATTTGTAAAAGACTCTGTGCAGACAGATTCTGAAAGACTGCATTTTGAATTTGTTGTCAAAAAATCCTAGGCACGAATTACAGGAAGAGGAACTAAGAATTAACGTACGAAAGAGAGAGCACAGACACAGACATTCAACCAGTACATTCAACAAGAACAGAGCACCTCTGAAAGCCAACTGCAAAATGGAAAGGTGCGTGCTGATCGACAACTGCTTGTGACTTTGTTCCGCAATCACCTGGAAAGCTAACGATTGGACGATGGAAAATGAGAGAAAATGCGTACCGGATCCTCGGATTTCTTGAATCCGGCTTCTTGACGAATGGCAGCTGTCAAAGCTGCTGACCTTCGGGCCACAAAGTCGGAGTACTCCACACCATCCGGAGGTGAGAGCTGGGCGTGCGTGAGAACCACTAGACCGAGGCGCCAGATTTCAGGTCCAAAGCTCCGGGCGATGGCTCGAATGACCTGCTTATCTAGGTTATCTACACGATAACCATCCAGTCGGTCCACATAGAGCACTGCGTCGATGGTTTTGTTCAGGAGAAATCTGCATTACACAACGCTTGTGTCAGACAAGACATAATGAAGGTACATCCTTCCGTGAAAATTGCTCCACTGCGAAGCGAGAGAAGCAAAGGACCCCGAAGATCTTAAACCCGATAAAGGACCTCCGAGACGAATGAAAAACCCATTCCGGCGGTTGAAACTCAAACCCATCGTACGTGAACGACAACTCCAATTCTTCATAATTTATCCAGAAGAGCAAAATCTAAAACCCTAGAGTGAGTCCCGTAACCAAATCGTTCAATTAAGAAGAAAGAAATCGAGAATGCAATCTTAGGTCTCAGGCCATTCTGCGAAATGACGACGATGGAGACCATGAAATTCTCGGCTTGTGAGCAGACGGGCTTCAAGCCCAACCGTACCTTCGAATGATGTCAAGTGCTTGATCGTTCACACAGCCACCTTCCACTAGTCCAGGAGTGTCGATGATGTTCAGAGTGAAGCCGGCCCTCGAGCGCGAGCACTGAATGGGTCTCAATGTTTCCGACTGGCAATCGGGACTGTTGCGTTAGCGTCCGACATAATCATGCGGGGCAGATGGCGCAATGTGCTATCCAGGGCAATCTAGAAAACTGGAATAGGGCTCATGGGCACTGTACCTGAAATGCACTGACGACTGCCACCCTTTCACCGACCAAAGAGTTCACGGTGGAACTTTTGCCAACTCCTCCTTTCCCTAATACGAGAACAGTCAAGGACTCCATACTCTGCGCAGCCGAAAAACCCCAAAAATCTAGAATTCAAAGTCCAGCCCCATGCCTTAGTAGGAAGCAATAAGTGAGTCTCAAAAAGTATAAGCTCCTCCTTGCGTGCCGTCTGGAGTCAACTGTCGACCCTCTAATTTCCACAGTATCGTACAGCGAATGTATGACCGACAAAAGTAGCACATTTATGATGTGTCGACGAATGGATGGATCCCCCGCGTGGCCCCGAAATATGCACTCGCACTCAAGTCCCAATCTCGCTCTTCCATAAAACCCCGAGCGAAACAAAGACACTCACTCCTCCATTCAAAAAACGACACGCACCGAACCGACCTCTCAGCGTCTCGCACAATAATCAGCCAGTCCGACACCAGAATTCAACCTTCCACGCCACTTGCTCCGAATCATCTCTCGGCGGATCACCCTCTCGACGCGAGACCGAAACGAACCAGAAGCAGCAAACAGATCTGGACGAGCGGGAGGGCAAGAAAACGAGGAGACAAAAGCAACAAGAAGGTCCGGACACAAACGCACCTCCAGCCTCAACCTTCCCAGCAGCGCATGCAGAGCCGTCTGGGTTTGGGCAGGAAACTGCTGCAGGCCTGTCCATTCTCGCACTTGGGTGGTCGCCATAGCTGTGGCACCGGACGGAGACCGGGGCCTGCCTTCTGCCTCTGCTGCTTCCGACCTTCCCCAATCCCTGTCCGCCCTCCAGCTCCAGCTCCAGCACCTCCTCCTCCTCCTCCTCCTCTTCCTCCTCTGCACGGCACCCTAGAATCGTCGCACGCGCTGCCCCTCCCCCTCCTTCTCCTTCGAGCCCCACTCGCTAGCATGAACTAAGACATCGTTCCCTTGCCCCCGTCCGGCGCTTGCCTGCCCCAGCCCCAAGCCCAAGCCCAGCCCCAGCCCCAGCCCCTGCGCCTGCTCCTGCTCCTGCTCCCGCTGGGCCTGCAATCTCTCACACAGGCTCGCTCCCTAATCCTAACCTCCGTCCTATCCAAACAGGGCTCGTGTCCGCCGGTTCCCCGCTGTTGTCCGCCGGAAGCAGGAATTCCTCCCCGGATGGAGCTTCGGTCCGCCGGTCGCTCGCGGGGCAAGGGTGGTTGATTAGCGGGGCTGTGGTTAGCGGAGGGCGGCGATAAGTGGGATTAGGCGAGTTTAGGGGCCGGGCTGGGGCGTAATTCATCGATCTCTCGTGCGAACAGCAACTCGGCCATCGATTGCTGCTAATGACGATCGATGATGATGCCTCGTCGTAATGCGCTTTGGCACATTCTTGCTGCTCGATGCGGTGGTGGAGAGTCAGATAACTCTCTTTCTCTGGGTTTTCTCTTTTGCCTTTTTTACTGTGCGGAGATTCTTTGGGTGCAGGGCTTCGTTCTCGGGCCTATTCTGTTCTGGCTCCGACGTCCTGTCGATGTGTGCTCATGCCACCGCTGTCGTTTCCGCCATGCCCCTTCGCACCCCATTTGGCATCAAAGCGACCCTGATCCTTGACCATTTGCTGCAGTTGAGCTTCGATTTGCACTTCTGCTCTCGAAGATGAGCTTCTCGCTTCTCGCTTCAACACCATTTTCCACCTCCTCCACTTCCAAATTCGTGCCCAGAGTCAAGTTCGATTTGCCATTTCAAGCCCGTTAGCCCATGGCTGATTTTTTTTGGAGGAATATCATCCCATGGAAGGGACAATTAGCACTTCTTCGAGATATTGTTGTCCCCTAAGTGGGCTCTGTAATGTGGGTTAATGAAAGTCATAGTACACCTTCACACATATCGGTCTGCCGAGGGCACCACTGGCTTGGTTCCAAGCCTCAGGTTCGAAAGAGTCAGCTTTCATTGAATTGCATTTAATGTACCACACGCCCAGACCATCATTTGACTCGGTTTAACGTCTACCTTAAATTCTCTCAGTCGTGGTTAGCTCGAATTTGAACATTTGATGCTTGCTCAGTGGCTGCTTTCGAGACTAAAGTACCAGAATCAAAGCTGATAAAAGTGAGTTTGCCATGCACACACAAGCAAGAGATGTCGTGCATGCTACTGGGCTTTCCAGACAATATAGTAAACTACTAAACTACTGCGTCTGACACTGTGGATATGGATCCACAGTCCTGCGTTTGGAAAATGTCCTTCAGAGCTTTATGGATTTTTTGCGCTAAAGTGAAGCACATTTCTGATATAGCACGGAGAACATTATTTCCACTCAAAAGGAAATCTTAATTCTCATCTGGATCGGTTATCGAGGTCGAGTGGAGCAGCACCGTTGATTGAATTTGTGTCCATCACATTGCACGCTAACGAACGATTACAATAAGTTAGATTCATTTCTTTCTATTTTATTTTTATCGACTCATTTATATTACTCTACGGGATCATTAGAGTGCTAGCAATAGCAATAGCATTACGAGAGAATTATTTCAAACCTTCTTTGGTCGACTGTTTGGGATAGATCAATGTAACATATTGTAAATTTCACTGTGATACTATAAGATGAAATGCGAAATAACTTATATACGGAACGAGGGCACCCTGTGAAAACACACTGGCTTCTTACTCGTGTTTTATAACTATTTCTTGGCAACTTAGACCATTTGAAATATACAAATATGACATCAAGTAAATAGCAAAAATAATCTCAAGTAGTGTAATCATAGTTCAATATCTGTATAGTTTCTAGTGAATTAGCTTCTAAAGGTATTTTAATAGGCATAAACAAATCATGTTGGTAGTCAATAGAACAAACGTTAGCTTTTCAAGTACCACAGGTGTTTTATTGCCTCTCAACTTGTCAAAAAAGTAGGAGGCGCTCATAGAATAAAATACGTTTTTTCTCTCTGTTATGATTCGAACATTTGTTTACTACGCGCTAAACTTTCTCCACAGAAAATCTAAAAGCTGAATTAGGAATAGAGCGAAATACAAATATTTTTCCGAACGCTACGGTCGCCAAAGGCACGAGACTATAAGGAGAGGTGCTACGCATTTTGTGGATCCGGGGTTCACGAGACCCAGTAGGTGAGAGTGTCGGAAGTCTTAGCCGAGATGGCTGAGAAAGAAAGCAAGAGTGCCCGAAGGGCCCGAGACTAGAGGATTACATATCCTAGATCTCAATGAGTCTGGCAAAATCTAAGTTACTCTCTTCGCAAGAATTTATGATCGCCAAAAATATGATATATTTATAATCCAGACTATGAGACCTTTGAAACTTCGGAGCAACATGGTTGTACCTCAATCGCGAGAGATTTACTTTCATTCGTAAAGCCGAAATATTATATATAGAAGTATTGAGAAGTGTCTAGTTTAGTACACATATACTTGGTGATGGGCGGTAATTCTATCCTAACCACTTCAATAATTGTTTCAAGAAAGTTTATATTAAAAAGTCTTTTCGCTCTAAATCTCAGAATCTGATTGTGTACTTGTTTTACATCTTGGGAGCAAGAAGCTCTAATCCTATGGTAGTTCTGCCCAAGCTACTTAAAATATAAATGCTCTTGAATTTCTTCCAGTTGGTCGAAAACTCTGGCTTTTCTTTAATAATCATTTTGATGATGATTTAATGATGATTTAAGTATCTCATCATATCAATTTTGTAAAACATCAATATAAATCAAAGAATTCAATAGTTGTGTGATAGAGTATGAGCGTTTGATCCAAAGCAAACATGTATTAGTTCCTTCATCTGTTGTTATTCAAAATGCCTTTCGGCTAGTCAAATTCAATAGAAATAGTTTCTTATATTTTAATTTATAAAATAGTAGTACACAACTCGAAGAGTATAAACTTCCAATAATGTCACATCTTATGAATGAACATATTTTCATTAGCAACATAGATTTCCAAAACCATTGGTTCGTAATAGTAAATCTGCCCAATAATAACATTATGTCATTAATGACAACAATGATGTCATTATATGATAGTGATAGATCCAAGTAATTTTGGACATATCATGATCACATTTAAAATATGTGAGAAAGTAGAATGTGGTGTACCTTTATTTAAACACCTATCTCAACCCTTCACTCTTTGGAGTGCAGTAAAATACTTTGCAATTGAGTGTACCATCCATCCAACTTTCTCAAGTTTTTATTGGTTGAACATCTCAATTCTTTGGAAGCTTGAGAACAAATTATTTTGAAAATTTTTCGATAAAGATAACTCAAGAGAAAGAAAGTTGATAAAATTAGTGATTCTTCAATTTAGTTGCTTGATGAATATCAAAGGTGGGATCTTGACAACTTCATTCTTATCAGAATTGCTTGCGTTTTGAAGGTTGCGTAGTTCCAATACAGACTTAACAATGCTAACATCATTAACATTGTCATTGCCGAAAGCTTTGAGAGCATACATTTCAGTTAGATCTTGGTCAACTTGTTCAATATTTGCATCATCAAGATCCAAGAACATTAAAAAAAAATCAACTGGTCAAATTTCTTGCAAAATTTTCATTATATCATGAACGGTTTGATTTGAATTGGGAACAGATTGATCAATACATATATCTTTATTAGAAATAACGTTGGAAATGAATAATAGGCAATTGACTTTGACAAAACACCGTCAAATAGTATTTTCTTTGATTAATCTTTGATGATGAAAGAGTATATTAGATGCCATACAATGACTTGATCCAACCAAGCACGTTGTGAATGTGTGATCATTAATAAAAAACTAAGATCCGAATACATTTCATCATCAGTCAGATTTCATACTCATACATTAGATGGTTTAGTTGAACACGACGAAAGTGTGTTTTTGTCAATCAAAGATTTCTTGCCAAGCTTCATTTTGATAATCATAGACAATTTCAAGCGCCTAATCTATATCAAAACATTTTTTAAATTGTTGAATAAACACCATAAGTGATCATCTACATGATAATTTGTTCATCTAAACTGCTAATTATGAGATTAATTGTGATTTGTTCTTTGTTTTGTTTAACATTATGATCATTCAAATTGATTGTGAATTATGATCTTCAAGATGTTGTGTGATTTTGTAAAGTCAACTCGTTAATGTTGTAAATGCATTCAAGTGTTACATAGATTATAAGATTATACATTATACATTGCCAAATTCATGCAAACATTTTTACCTTGCATGAGATTTAGGTTGTTATGTTCTCCTCACCTCTTCAAGCTGTATATTAATAAGCACTTCAAATAATTTTTGAGCAATTCATTAAACACAAAAAAAATCTGAAGATAAAATATATATAATATTTTTAAACATTTTGCAAAGTCATGCAAGATTTTGTTTTGAATTAAAGAGCATTTTTCTTGAACGCTTTGTCAGTCACATTGAGCGTGGAGATATTAATCTCAACGCACATAAACCATTGATGCATCTCATACATAAAAACTTGCAAAATAGTTGATATGTAAACATTTCTAAGTCCATCTAATTTTGATTATAATATCATCTACTTGATAACTCTTCTTTCACATGTTTAAAATAGTTGTACGTGCAATCAAAATTTTGATGATGCTTGCTTATGAGTGATTTTAGATTGACTGAAAAAATTGAAAACCTCCAACTTAGTCTTGATGATCAAACATTTACGTTTCTGACATTATTAGAGATGTGTGCATAAATCTGTATTTGAATGTAGTAACAACAACCAATGTTGATAGTCGTTAAAAAAAATCCAAGCAACTAAAATCACTATTGTAGAAAAAAATCCACTTATAGATAATTTTTGTACTAGTAAAACGTCCAATAAAGTGCGCAACATATTTTTTTAATACTAACATCTTTAATAATGACGTTCAGTCTTAACATCAAGTTATATTTTGAAGAAGATTATATTATGTATTACAGTTTAAAACTTGTTAGTTATACATGATCATAACTAGATTGATCAAAAATTAATTTGCAATTCATCAAAACATAAAAACTTGTTCTATATACATAACGCTGTTGTATTATATGTTTTATTTTCAACATACATTTGATG